AGGTTGTAGGGGTCAGGGGTTAGGGTTATGGTTTGGGGTTTAGGGTTTGATTTGGGGTTTAGGGTTTGGGGTTAGGGGTTAGGGGTTAGGGTTATAGTCCCCCTTAAGTAGATAGAATATTAGGGTTATATCGGGGTAATATTAGGGTTATATTGGGGTTATATCGGGGTAATATTAGGGTTATCTTGGGGTTATATTGGGGTTATATAGGGATAATGGAAAAGAAAATGGAAACTACACTTTAGGGTTTAAGGTTTTGGGTTATGGGTCCCCCTTAAGTAGATAGAATATGGCTCTGGGTACATTATAATAAGATCCCCATATACCCCATATTCTATCTACGTAAGGGGGACTATAGGTCTCAAATGTTGAAGACCGTCTGGTTTTAGGGTTTATAGGGTTCAGTTCAGGGAGAACATTTGAACTGTAGTCTACACTCCTAGTATGCCCTTTATTACCCCTATAGTAGTTCCCTATATAATCCCCTATATAACCCCCCTTTAAGGACTTTAGACCATGGCTCATAAAGGGTGTAATGTCTATAGCGCCAAGGGATTCTTGGACCCTACACCACTGCAATTCTTAGGGCTTGAAGGACTTTGGCTACTGCAATTTTTCCCCCATGAACAGTTGGCACCCAAAGAGCCCAATAGCCCATAAGTTGACAATATGTGCGAAAACTATGTTAGGGGTTCCGATAATTGTTGAGGGTCTGATATCTGATATGGATCCATCAGTGTATCTGCTAGTACCGAAACCTCCGCCATGACCCTTATATTCTACACATTCATAGTCCCAAATGCATAAGGCAGTTAACGCCATCAGGATGGGTCGCATCAAGAATAACAAATTCAGAGCACGGGTATTTTTCTTGATGGCTACTGCCAGGAAGTAGACATTATAACTGAGGTTTGTCCTGCCTAGGTATGAAACATTCTAATCCCTCCCTAAATCCTAGGCCCTACGCCCTAAACTGAATCCTCCTACTGATACATGTACCTCTCTAGTATATACGTTTTACCATACAGTTGTTTGTTATTGCTTCCAGGGGCCAACGTATGATGCTACCTTGGGATCCAGACCCTGGAGCTCCAACAAGTAGAACCCCGAACAATGTACCGAAACAACAACTGAGTACTTGGAGTCCAGGATTCGGGAGACGGATCCGTCTTTGAGACACCCATGCTGCAGTATCAGGGAGTAGGCCCAACAGGGTTTGGTTTTATAGGGTTCCTGAGGTTTAGGGTTTGGAGATGTGAGGGTCCCACCTCATCGCTCCTCTTAGCACCACCAACACATAGTTTGCCCCTGGATGGGCTAAAGCCATTCTCTCACAAATGAGCTGTAGTCTCAACTTAATAACCGCTACAATTCTTCCCAATATAATTCCCTATATCCCCCCGTTTAAGGAGTTTAGATTATAGCCCATGAAACTACTGCCCCATCTTAAGACCCCTTTGACATGCAGTCTGGGCGAATGTCTGTTATGAATGTTGCCAGGAAGTTCTATCCCCAGACCGCCCCAAAACTTGAGGCACCGAACCAATGAACCTTTAACTCCAACCCTAAATCCCGGAAGCAACAATCCCCTAACCCTCTTTCAGCCCCAACACGCTGAATGCTTAAGCCCCCAAGATGCCAAGTCTTTTCAACTTGACGCTCTGAGGTCCACTCCTTGGGCTGGGCATGGAGGTATCTCTGCAGGGTCAGCATCCTTTCATGCCTGGCTCCAAGTCTCTCGAAGCGCGACGAGAAACACATGTCAAACCAAGCGAAAGAGAATGTGGCGCTGACCGTTTGATCTTCATGGCCTCTGGATTCTGGATCTCAAGAGTTGTCTTCAAGCTCAAACATGAGCTTCACAACTTCAAGGCCTATCTAAATGGCAGGCTGCTAATTCAGGGTGTTCCCAACACGCCGTATGTACACTCACCAATGTACCGAAAGAACACGACATTTGCTCCCCGTCAGAAGTATCACGCAGGCACGAGATGGTTTCAATCCGAGGGTGGGGTAATATTGCACCCTCTATCTCCTAACAACAAATATCCCCCCTTACGTACATGAGGGGCGTATTTCTTATTAGGGGTGTAGGGGAGGGTCCTGTCGGGGGGAGGGGACTAATTAATAGAGCCCTCAGCCATTGGGCATCACGTTCTGGTGCTCAGTCGGGAATGGAGGAAGGAAACCCCACAGTAGTCCCTACATCGTCCGTCATTACAGTACCCATAAGCCACATTCTGCAATTCCCTATTACCCACCAGCAAGATGAACATGTGCGCACTGAGTTCTCTCATTCAACCAATTGCTTTTCTATCTCGGCTGCGTCTGAAAGGCTGCAGTAAGCTTTGTACACAAGGCGTTGGCCCCGGACAGCGGCCTAGAAGACAGCAGCATCAAGGTTGTGTTCCGTGAAGCCGCATACGCCCTGCTCTGATTCACATGCTGGTTTCCTCGGCAGGGATGTCATGATAGAGCGCACCAAGTACGGGGCTGGCTCCATTCCCAAACCCGAATGTTGGAACCCTATGTGGTACCCCATACTACTATTGGGCAATCTCTCCAAAGCTTCAGAACCTCACAGGGGTCTGGGTAACTGAAAGGGCAAGTGTCCAACTTGGTAGAAGTGGTTTCCGGCAATGAGAGTGACAGATTTCCGCAGGAATTTGGACTTCAGGAATGCAGTGTGCCCTGGCCAGTCCTGATGTTGCAATCACAGGCAGCATCCCCTGATTTGCGGTGAACCCCAGACCCGTACAACCCGAGCCCTAAATCCTACACCCCAAACCCTAAACCCTACACCCCAAACCCTACACCGCAAGCCCTTCACTCTAAACCCTACACCCTAAACCCTAAACCCCAAACCCTCAACCCTAGTCCCCTGAGCCGAAGCCTAAAGCCGAAGCCTAAACCCCTGATGTCCGTCTCGGGAACGACCACGACAAAAGTCAGCATCTTGCTCTCTAGCTTTGCTCTCTGCAAGCCTGGGTCATACGCGCTTTAAGGTTGAGGGGTTTAGGGGTTAGGGGTTTAGGGGTTTAGGGGTTTAGGGGTTTAAGGTTTGGGGGCTTAGGGGTTAGGGGTTTCGGGATTTAGGGGTGTAAGGTTTAGGGGTTCAGAATTTAGGGGTTTGGGATACTTTCCAGATGTCTGTACCTTTGGAAACAGGGGTCCAGCTACATACCCCCTCTCTTGCGGAAAAGGCAGGCTCTACTGGATGAGGACCATAGGGACCCCAAGTTCAACAGTGAATCCACAATTTAGGGTTTAGGGTTTAGAGCGATCTTCTTAAGGAACTGTAACATTACTCTGTGTGCTTGTGGGAGCCTCAGGTGCTTGCTTTCTTTTGGCATTCATGTAAATTGGAAGTCTTGCTGAGCACTGACCCCAGGGGCATGTCTGACAGAAAGTGGCAGTTCGCAACACCACGTCCTCATCGAATGGAGGATTCACCTCAACCGTGCCATCTGAAATCGAGGACTCAAAAAAAGATCCGAGCGATCCGAAAAGCCCATCCACGTCTGCAAAGGCGCTGTGATAACCTGGGTTGATGCTAAGGAACGTAAAGTAAGTTAAAGTAAGTTACCACAATACGGAAACTCTAGTCTCACATACCCAAAGTATGCAACTTGTCTCAAGTTCCTGAACATCTACCAGGCAACATCCTTTTCCAGCCAATGTATTCAGGGGCGAAGCAAAAGCTTCAATGACCGGCGCGGATGCCCATTCCTGAATCATAGCTGAAGATCTGTAACACCAGCACATTTCTTGGGGCATAGATTAAATGCCGATAATGGAAAACTACATGGAACATGAAATGGACATAGAGTTTATATCGTTCCCATTACACTGAAAGATGTGAAATGTGTCTGAAGGTGATCCAAGAGGCCTGCAAGGCTTTGAAAACATGATTGGTCAGCGCCCCTTGGTTGCCACCTGTAGGTGTCTGGAATAAAAGGGGTACGCCCTTCCTCACTTAATTTACCATATTATGACTATATAGTAACTTAGCTTAAGTTCTTGAATAGCAACCCAGGTATACAACTCCGGGCTGCATCCGGAATTTTGGGAGTGATTCGGGCTGCAGGGGCATCAACATTAAGCTACTACCAAAAAGATGAAAGTCCCCCTATGATTTCAGGGACTCCCCCACCAAGGACCCCCCACCCCCCAAGAATTTTTGGAAACCTGGACACCCCAAACCCTAAACCCTATATAGTCCCACTAAACCCTGAGACCTAAGCCCTATACCGTATAGATATATATATATATATGTAAATAACCATGTTCCACCTCCTTTATCATGAACCTGAAGTACGCGATATCTGGCCAGCACCAGGAAGGCAGCCTAAGGCCGACATGCGATTTGACGTCTGAATCGGGATATGTAACCCAGGGCTGCCAGTTGCCTAAATAATGGGAACTTGGCCCTGTATACCCTATAGTTGCATAGCCCAGTAGTCCAGTAGCCCAACATTTTTGGAAACTGGGAGCCCTAGGGTAAGGGCATCTAGAGATTATATAGGATGTAGGGTTTAGGGCTTCGAGCTTAGGATTCAGGATTTTAAAAGATGCATCTAAGCATTACAAAGGGGTATGTAGGGAATATGAAGGGGCATCTAGGGATTATATGCGGGTATAGAGGCCTATGAAGGGGTGTCTAGGGATTATACGAGAGCATCTAGGTAGGGAATATAGAAGAGCATCTAGAGATTATGTAGGGATTAGGGGTGTAGGATTTAGGGTTTACAGGGTGATTAACTCAGACTGCGGCATACACAAATGGCAGGGGCACCTTGCGGACCCTTACGGATACAGAGGGAATGTCAAAGGATTCTGGGTCCCTGCAGCCAGTAACAATCCATAATAATGGGGCTATCTCATACATGTTCTCTTAGGCGTTATGAATGAAAATACGAACGCTTGTCAACTGTTACAGAGCACTTCAGGCCCAAGATCAATGAATCATCACCTGAGGCTGCTGTATGTACATACTGTTGATAGTGGAAGTAGGCCTTTCAGCAAAGCACACATGTAAAAGCGGACATCTTCTCCTGGACTCGAGGTGCTTGGCATTGGATAGTGGCAAGCTGCCATGTATCAGTGTAGAGCGGACAAAGAATCACAGCCCGCTTTGAGAAAAAACCCTTGGCTGAATCTCCCCCGCTAGTTAAGCCTAAATCCTATGAACGAATATTAGGAAGTGGAGGGGGGGGATGCTTCCCATCAAGGGTGCAAGATATTGAACATCAAGGGTCGCCGGGATTGTTAAGAACCCCCTTTGGGCCCGGCACTGTTGCTACACAAAAAATTGCAAGCCTGCAATGCAGCAGCTAGGCCTCTCCATGCTCCCCCAAATCTTATGATGTTTAATAATATTTAACAATTATTGCTATTACTATTATCATTATGTATATTTTTGTGCATATTTTTATTATGACTATTACTAATAATTGTTGTTTATCATGATAGACATCAACCCCCAGTTCTGAGACTTACCGGAACGAAGCTTCTTATGGGGGCTGCTGTCGCCCAGGATCGCTGCAGAAGAGCAGAAATAAAGGCCGCTAACTCAAAGTGAGTCAAAACAACGCGTCAACCAGCTTGCCTACACCTACACTGTTCATGGATCTTGGCAGAATCTGCTGATGCAGAGCCACCTAGAAACCTGGCACAAGTATATCTCCGATCCACCGTAGGCTTTGAATTTAGCGTTGAGATCTTCCTGGATTTCTGAACATTGCCGGACTCGCGTACACATTTTTGCTGATCAGGGTTTAGAAAAGACAGGGACCATGGTTGCCAATCCGCTGGGTGATTTCCAAAGGCAGGGACCCCAGCCCTTTCCTTTGATTGAAATTTAGAGCCAGTGGGTTAGGAGCCTGGACGGAGGGGGGTACACAGAATTTTCGAACAATGGCGAGCTGCTGACAAAACAGCATCAAGTGGCCAGCAGCCAAGCCGCACTCGACGGTCGAACCGACAAAAAAAAGGAATCAAAGGAGCGTACTAATGACAACTGGAATAGAGAGGAAAATTAGCATGTACAGCAGCGATGATGGTAGCATTTATGCTGCGCACATGCGGGATGCGTCCAAGGCTCCAAATGAAAGCTTGGCCCTGAGCCTGCGTGAAAGGGTGGAAGCTGGGAAAACATGAAACCCCAAGGCCTTAACTGGCCCAAGCCTGGGGATTAAAAATGCTAAGATGCCCAAAAAGCTTGAGCGCTGAACTCCTGAACTGTGATGTGTTTCAGGGCGCAGGCCCAAACACTTACCAACTCACGAATAATTCATTACCCAGGTGTGGGTACTTCAGGTTACAGGAGTGCAGGGTCCCGCGCCTGTGTGTAAGGAGCGCAGCTTTGAGAAGTACTGTGGAAGCAGCTCCACAGTGCGTTTGCCGCACGTCAGCCGGACCAAAGCACCTTGTCAATTCAATGACTTCTACTCCTGCAACAAAAGCAGCAGCGCCAACATCATCAGCAACAACCAAAATGACGGCTGCTACTAGAACAACTACCGCTACCCCTCCTCCTACTCCTAATCCTACTCCTGTTCCTACTGCCACTACTACAACTCCTTCCTCTGCTTATACCCCTTCTACTGCAACACCTGTTGCCACAACGACTCTGCTAGCAAGACTATGGCTCTGATGCAACACGAAGATTTGCTATTGATCTCCACAACTATGATGTGCAGCATGATTGCAAGTACAATCTGTTCTGCGCTGGTGCTTCAGCCGCATTTACATGAAGTGCAGGCGCAAATTCATACCATTAATACCCCATGCACAGTTTTGTGTCAGGTTTATGGTGTCAACTGGGCCAAGGCACTATCTTCCAGCACTTGGACCTGAACCTCTGCTTGGGGCACGACCTCCGTGTGCAAGATGTCTGCCAGCTTCCTGATCCGTGCTCTCGCTTCCTGGCTGGGCTGCCCGGGTATACCTTAGGAGGACCTCCCACCCTGTAATAGTGGTGTAACAAGAACATACGAGGACCCTAATATAATCCCTATTATCCCTTATAGTCACTATTACTGGGTGGGGGGTCCACCTAAGGTATACTCCAAAAGAACGTAAGCACCTGCATGAGGATACTAGCGCAAACCATACTACTAATTACTAGATGGAAACCCTACTTCCCTACTTTATACCATGTAGATACTTCAGACCCTTGGTCCTACTGGCACCTGAAATGTCTTTTTCGTCGGCGGCACCTTTCGTTGGACGCCTGCATTTTCCAGCTTTTGCAACAAAAGGTCATCACCATGTTTCGCCGCTTCTGCTGACGGCTTACCCAAAGGCATGAGGGGGTGGAAGAGCCGTGCCCACAGCCTTTGATGACAGCAATGTTACATCCCTTGAAAACATTAAGGTGGCGATATTTGGGTAATACCAGCAGGTCACCACCAGCAGCGTCACCATTAAGTACGATGCGGGCACGAATGGCAACAGCAATGCTTAATCAGCTAAACTGCGCCGTGCAGGACAGCATTGAAAGCGGGTACTGCTCGCAGTCCTATGATTATTTAGTAGTTTCCATTTTCTTGTGCATTATCGCCTAAATATCCTCAATATGCTATAGTGGTTTGCAGTACAAGTCACCAGGCTTCGAGATGTCTTCTGCGTTTCTGCTCATTCCGCTTGGAGTCCGCACCTCCCAGGCTAAGTGAAATGTGCTGCTCGTAGCCAGCTACAAGGTTGTCCATCACATCCCAGCGGCCCAACTCAATCCCGATCCTGAGATCGCACGATGTAAAAGGCTTCTGAACGCCTGAGCCAGGCCTAGAAAAAATTATCTGGTGTGCACCCTGTCCTGAAGAAACACGGAGCCTGCCAAAGCGGCCCTTGCCTACAATTGTCCCGTTAACTGAGATTCACATGGAATTCTGTTTTTCTTTGCTGAAGTCCACTCCCAAGCTCCACTTGCGCAGCTGCTGCTTTGTGGCAATTGCTCGGCTCTTGTCCTGGGTTGGCAGCTCACACAACTTGAAGAACTCTGAATATAAGACCTCTTCAAAAGATACTTTCAGGCAAAACTGTCTAGATCCTGTGCCAAAGGCCAACCGAGTGTCCTTCCCCTGTCTTTTTTGCACAGGGCGTTTTCCAGGCTTTGACGAAGTCTCCGGCGAAGGCTTAGGGCGCGGCTTCTTGGAAAGTTGGGGCTTCAGCTGCGACCAGTTGGAGCCAAGCATGGCCACATCCCCCAGGGACCCTCCCAATACTAATTTGAATTATGGGGCCCCTAACAGTGGGTACTTTTGCGTAGTTGGAGGCTTGATGTTGAAAATCTTAGGGTGGTGTTTTCTGAGAGGCTTGGATGGGATTCCATGTACAGACCGTGCTGTCTTAACCAAAACTGCTCGCAGTGTCGTCTCTTCGCAGTAGGTTTGGGGCCCTGCGCCCCGAAACGTTACGCCTCAGTCGCTATCTATGTCACACCATGAGGTTGCCATTGAGGTGTCATCTTGCTAAAGTTGTGATAAAATGAATACCTTCAACCAGTTGAGATAGGTGCGCTTTGGCCTTGAGCTAACTGCTGTACCATGCTGTAATGGGCGCAGCGAGGTCATAGTAGGACTGTGTCTAAAGTCTAAAGTAGAAACCGTGGGCCCCTAGTATGGGCACTTAATCCTGAGACCCTTATACACTTACTATATACTATATACCTTATATGTACCCTTAAGGGTTCCTGGCCCCTGAAAGGCCTATGGTCCCCAAGAGACACCTATAATATGCACTTGGCACTTGCCAATGTTCCACCGAGGGAGCCC